AGAAAAAGAGAATTCCCAACAACAACCCCCCACCCCCCTGAACCCAACACCTCTAATCCCAAAAACATGCCATGACCGTCACCCATCTCCACACTACCTGCCATGACTGCCACCCATCTCCCTTCCTCCTCCTCTTCCTCTTCCTTTTTTCTTTTCCTCTTCCTTTCAACCCTTATAGTAATTGTAGGTAATGGAGTTTAAAGAGAGGTAGAGAAAACTAGTATTGATGATTATGATGATGATGATGATGAAATGGAATAGTGGAAGGGTTGGTGTTTGTGTTAATGGTTGGGAAATGTTAGAGTGAATGCAAAACATAGAGACCCTTTGAGAGAATTGTTGTATTGTATTGATTGAAGTAATTGTTACCAAGGAGTTACAGTATTGGATCTGGGTTTGGAAATAGTATGATGATGGAAATAGTATCATGATCAATTTCAGAGAAAGGGGAATTAAGGAAGATGAGGATTTGGATGCCGGTGGCAATGGTGAAGAGGAAAAGAGAAGGCGAGGAAGAGGAAGAGAGAGGGATGGCATCCATGGAACGCAGTGGGGTTTTAGGGGAAAGGCGGCGGTTGGGAATAATTTTTTTTCTTTTTTTTTTTCTGTTTTTCAAATTTCAAATTTTATTTCATAATATAAGTCCAGCTGTAAACAAATATTTAATTTCTGTTTTAAAATAGACACATGGCAATATTTGAATGGGAGTATCACATGCTGACGTGGTACATCCGTACTATTCTACAATTTCTCGTACATAAGCACTCAACAATTATAACATTGTTGAGATCAAACCTCACTCATAACAGATAAGTAAAATCACAATATATAAATATAAAATATAGTATTTATTTGTAGATTTAGAAGAGATGGTGGTGCTTCTTTCCATGAGACTCTTCCTCTTCTTCCTTTGTCTCTTTCTTCTCATGATGCTCATGGAAGGCAAACCCACCAGACCCAACTGCAGCTGCTGCAGCAATCTCCTCTTCTATCTTGTGCCTGTGGGCAGGGCCGGCCCTGACATTTTGGTGGCCCATGGTCAAAAATTAAACGAGGCCCTTAGTATATAATTTTTTTAAAAAAATTTGCTCATTCCTTTTTCTTTTTATGAATATGAAGCAAAATCCCATTGCTTAAATAGAATAATTTCATTCAACCAACAAAAAAAAAACCAAAAGTATATGATCCATAAACAACAAAAATCATATTTAGGGGCATAGAGCTTCTAAAATTTCAGCAAAACAAAACAAAAGTTTTTAAGTGGCTCTTCCATAGGGCTTAGTTCTCAAGTGGCTCAATTGTACACAAACAGCAGCTTTGACCTCCACTCTATCATCTACAAATCAAAAAACAAAAGCTGTAACATTAAAAATACAAACAATCACTGAAAAATTCTTGATCTTCTAGCATTTTGAGAAGCAAAATCATCAATAACCTCTTCAAAATCAATATTTTCCAACATATTCTTTTCAATACATAAGATTGCCAATCCATTTAACCTTTCTTGTGACATAGTTGATCGCAAATAAGATTTTATTAATTTTAATTTTGAAAAACTTCTTTCTGCAGATGCCACAGTTACTGGCAAAGTCAGTATAATTCTATAAGCAATTGAGACATTTGGAAAACAATCCACAACTTTTACAAACTCAAGAACTTCAATGGCTGTCTTTGTCTCTTTCGGTAAATACATTTGTAACACTTCCAATTCAGAAAACAAATCATCAGAATTAATATCAGATTCATTATTATGTGTTAAAACAGCTTCAAGATTTTTACAACATTCACGCAATCTAATATAATTCATTTGAAATAAATTCTTAGGATCAAACAAAAAACCAAAAATGCCTTCAAATATTTCTAATTGTTCAAATCTACTCCTCAAAGAAGAAATTGCAGCATCAACTACAACAAGAAAATAATTAACCCTAAAAGATTCTTCAGCATATTGAAATATCTCTTTATGGTAATTTTCATCAAATTGTTTTTTTCTTCGACTTTGACGTTTTTCAGGAAATACAGGGTCAATTTCCATCTTTGATGCAATCTCTTTAGCAGAAAGTAGGGCCAATGTGAACCCATTTTCCCTATAGTCTACAAAATAAGAGACCAGCCCCTTCAAATGTTTTATTGCAACATCAATTTGCATATCTCCATATTGCAATTTTTGGCTAACCAAGTCAATTTTTTTCAAAATGTTATGCCATATACTCATGCCCAACAAAAATTCAAAATTTTCAAGTTCATGTGTAGCTAAAGATTCAGCTTCACTCTTTGTTTTTGCATCTTCACTAACCCTAGACAATTCAAACAGAGCTTCTCTTATATCATCAGTTTGGGTTATTATGGCTTTAACACTATTAATATGACTTTCCCATCTTGTTGTTGACAATGGTTTAAGAGTTAATCCATGGACATGATCTTGAAAAATTTTCCACCTCTTTGTAGAACTAGCAAATAGAGTATACATGCGTTGCACAACACCAAAAAATGACACAGCTTTAACACAAGAGTTTGTCATATCACAAACTGTTAAATTAAGAGAATGACAAGCACATGGCATATAAAATGCCCTAGGATTTATTTTTAGAAACCTTGTTTGCACACCATTGTTTTTCCCCTTCATGTTAGCTCCATTATCATAACCTTGGCCCCTTACATTATTAATATCAAGTTCAAGACGCTTTAATACAACCTGTAACTCATTAAAAAGCCCACATCCAGATGTATCATCCACTTTTAAGAACTCTAAAAAATATTCTTCTACCTTTATGGGAGCATTTGACACATCTACACATCGAATTATTAAAGTCATTTGCTCATGGTTACTTACATCCGGAGTACAATCAAGTATTACAGAAAAATATTTTGCCTCTTTGATTTTTTCAATTATAGCACTTCTAACCTTGGAGCCTAACATACCAATAAACTCATTTTGAATTTTATGACTAAGATAGTGACAATGAATCTCATTATTTTGAAAACGTCTAAAATGCTCTTGCAATACTAAATCAAATTCTGCAATTAATTCAAGCAGCCCCAAAAAGTTACCATTATTATCTTGGTAAATTTTCTCATTCTCTCCACGAAAAGCTAAATTTCTTTTAGCAAGACATCTCACAACAGAAATTATTCTTACTAAAACCAATTTCCAATGTTCCTTCTCTTTTTTCATTTGCACTAGTAGCTCTTTATCAATTGTTTCATTCTTTTTCAATCTAATTTGCATGTCAATCCAAGTTCTCATGTTATTGATATGCTCACTACTAGTTTCATGTTGTTTAAGCCTCTCACTTAAACGTTTCCAGTCATTAAGCCCTTCATTTGCCAACAAACTTTTCATTTTCACAGATTTAAACAACTTACAACAAAAACAATATACTTTGTCCACATCTTTTGAGTACACTAGCCATTTTCTATCTTGACCCTCCCCATTTGATAACTTTCTTGTATAATAAGAGTATGAAAAATGCCTAGAGAGCCCATCCACAGGAAACTTGAGATTACTTTCTCTTACAAGACCCTTTTCTACTAAAATATCCTTCGTTTTGTTATCAATGTTATCCCAAATTCTTGGATCATAGATATTCAAAGCATTCTCTCTCATTTCTTCTTGATTATTTTCATTCTCAATGAGGGCATCAACCTCTTCATTTCCTATCATTTCTTCTTCCTGACCAATTGGTTGTTGTGATTCATGAACTAATTCATTAGATGGATCTTCAATTGAAGAACTAGTTTTAAAAAACTTATCAAGAGCTCCTCTTTGAGTTTGAATCATTTTTTCTATTTTTTTCATTTTATTTCTTTTTTGACTTCCAGATTCATACTTCCTAATCATTTTTTACTGCAACTCTTAAATCTAGAAAGTGACAGACAACAAATGAACAAAATAAACACACCACACCAAACACAACCTGGTTTATGCTTAAGTTGTATAAAAAGCTTGAATCTTGCAGAGCTTTAACTTCAATTGATCTATATTGCACATCTGCAATGATATAAAAAATATGTATAAGGATATGTATAAAGAATTCAAATTTGTATAATTGACGACCTCATCCTAAAGAATTCAAATCTGTAGAATTCAAATCCTAAAAACATACAATTCAATAAAAAAAAAATATGTATAAAGATAATGGAAAGAATTCAAATATAGGGTTATTATTGACGAACCTCATCCTCACTCAGATAATCTTTCAGGGTCTTTCTTCTGTACAGAAATCGTGTAGTGTAGAAGAAAGAAATCTACAAATCTTTCTTTGGATGGATAGATCAATTCAAAGACAAAGATAAAAGAGGGATGAGAGAAAAACTGGAAATAATATATTAAAGAGAGCTTTTGGATGCTGAAAAGTTTTTTTATGAGAAAAGAGAGAGGAGAACACGTTGGGAAAGGGAAAGATCTTTTGGATGCTGAAAAGTCTAAAGTTTTTAATGAGAAAAGAGAGGAGAAGACGTTAATTGGGAAAGGGAAAGATCTTTTGGATACTGAAAAGTTTTTTTATGAGAAAAGAGGTAGCGTGTTGGAAATAGGAAAGATAGCTTTGGAAGCTGGAAATAAGAATATGTGTGTTTTTTTTTTTTTTTAAATTTATTTAAAACATGGGCTCCTGTAATATTTAAAAAAAAATTTGGGGCCCCAAAAATCAGAGGCCTATGGCCGTCGCCCTCGGCGCCCAGGCCCAAGGCCGGCCCTGAAAATATCTTATTCGTGGTTTTAGAAAAACAAAACATCAACAGCTAAAAGTAAAAGGGTCAAAGAAACTCTCAATCAACTCCCACTCGACACTCCACCCCAAACCCAAAGCCCTAATCTATAAACCTAAAATCCTCAATCTCCTCACCTCTTCCAACCGACGAAGCTTCAATGGGGAGAGCTCAAAGAAGACGACAGCGAGTATTTAGACTTCCTCATGTTGCTAAAACAAGTGATTGGGCCCGACGAGAATGGGATCAAGAATGTGATAGAGTTCAAGTTCAACGAGAACGGCAATAAGGTGAAGATCACAACCACAATTCGGACTAGGAAACACGCCAACACTCGATTGAGTAAGCGTGCCGTGGAACGCCGCTCCTAGCCCAAGCTTCGTGACATTGTGCATGAGGATGTTGGTGTTGTTCTTCGTCTTCTAGAATTTTCGGATTATTGTTTTATTTAGGCTCAGTGTTTCAGTAAAATAAGTGTTTCTGGAATGTTTTTGACAAAAATTTAATTATGTATGATTATGATTTTGTGATTAAAAATTGATTCTTAGAAATATAGTAAAATCGTTGATCCGAATTGGGTATTTTAAGTTTTTGTAATAGACATCTAATGATCCTTGAATTAAATTAGCTTAATAGAAAACAAAATTGATCTAACCTCTGCGTAGAAGTCTGGTGGGGAGAAGGAATCAAAGTGTGTCAGGCTAGAATCCAAATGCCATCCAGTTCCATGTATATACAGTATACTTTACCTATCAATTAGCATCCGTGTCCCCAGACCATTGTTCATCCTTTTTTTTTTTTTTTCTTTTAATTTAATTTGTTTTAACTGCTCTTCTTTCTTTTTATTCAAATTGTTTCACAATAATTTTTTTAACAGATTTTGTTCTTGAACACGTATTCTACCTAATTTTAACTGCTCTTATCCTTATCCAAAAATAAACCTGCTCTTTTTTTTTTTTGGCGCTCTTCTTCGTTTTCTACTTCTTCTCCAACGTCATTTTTTTTTTTCCTATTTATTTATATTAATAATTTTTTAAAGTGTTCTTCTTCAGCACGTCTTGTTCTTTTTTTTTTGTTGGGACAGCACGCCATGTTCTTAATTTAACAGTTAACTGCTCTCTTTTTACCCAAGCACGTCTTCTGCTTATTTTGTCTTTTTATTATTATTTAATTTTGCTTTCTTTTTCTTTTAAATTTTTTGAAATTTAGTGTTGTTTTACTTTTTCGTCCTCCTTTTAATAAAATCTGCATGACCAACGTAAAGCTTTGCCTGAAAATCCCGAAACCCCAAATCCCAAATCTCTGTAAACCTAAAATCCCCAATCTCCCGCTAAACTTTTTTTCATAAAAAAAATCGCCAATCCACATCTCGATCTGGACTTCCTCTTGCCGCTGAAGCAGGTGATTGGGCCCGACGAGAACGGGATCAAGAAGGTGATAGAGTACAAGTTCAACGAGGACGGCAATAAGATCAATATCACGACCACGAGTCGGACTCGGAAACTCGCCAATGCTCGACTCAGTAAGCGCGCCGTTGAGCGCCGCTCCTAGCCTAAGTTCGGCGACGCCGTGCATGAGGACGTTGGTGCCAGGCTCACCATGGTCTCCACAGAAGAGATCCTCCTCGAGCCTGGTATGCCTTGTGTTGACGCTAAAAAATGGTTCAGCACTTTTTAGCCCAACTTAGAGATGAGGTGTGATAGATGATGGGCGAAAGTGAGGACCATCACCAAGTATGTGAGGATTTGGGCAAGCGATAAATATACATAAGACAAGATATACGTGGTTCACCCTTAATAAATGGGCTACGTCCACGGAGAAGTATATTCTCATACTCATTATTATAACAATGTGTATTTACATTTGCACAAGGAGCTGGGCCCAAATATAAAGAGATTAAAGATCAAGCCCAACCAAGGGGGATCTTTTCCTAAGTGGAGAGTGGTCTCCTTTTATAGGTGAGAGGGAGTCTTCACTTCTTGCAATATTTCAATGTGGGACTCTTTGCCTTGCTTAGAATTGCTTCTAGTTGCTTGGTCAAATATGGTATAAATACCTTGTTCTTCGTCATCTAGGATTTTCAAATTGTTGTCGTTGATCGGTGTTTTTGTTTTATGGTTTGTGAGCAGGATTATGTGGAATTTAGCTAGGCTCTGTTTTATGGTTTTTGAGCAAAAAAGAAAGTGTTTTTGGATTTTTCGTTAAAATTTTAATTGTGTATGAGAATGCTCGATTTGGGTAGTCGGTTATTTTCCCACAAGATTTTGGTTATTATTTTAAGTTTTTTTGTTAGTTTTTGCAATAGACATCTAATGATCCTTCAATTAAATTTTGACAAAATATATTTTTCTAAGAGGATTTCAAGTAGGTGAAATGTGTTTGCTATTGGAACAAATGAAACTGAAATTGTGAATTGGATTGTTCGTTATTTTGTTACTAAGAATTTTGCTGCTTTTCACAAGTTCAAGGGAAATTAGTGCTGTGTCTGTTTGATGCAATTGCTATGTTTTAATGAAGGGCATAGTAATAGGCGCTTTGTTTTTATGAACAGTTACTTGCTTGGTGCATGACTAGTAGTCTAGTAGTCTGTCTAGCTGACCTGATATGTGAGCATGGGGCATTTAGCCATTCTTTTTGGAATTAGTTCCCAAGATTTCCCTAATTGGCTTAAATCTTAGGGAGCTTTAGTTTTAAACCATAATATAGTTTACTAATTTAGTAGAAAGAAATACAATTTACTATATTCAATTTCTTGTTTTCTCCCTTTGCATGGAAACTTTGTTTGGTGTTATCTTAAGAAAGAACAGGTGAATAAATAAATGTTTTGTCAAGAACAAAATAAAGCTGCAGAACCCAATCTCGGGTGGCTGTACAAACCAAAGAGCTTATAATTCATTGCAAGCAATGCGTACAAAACTCAAACCTTGAGTTTATTTAGAAAAACGAAAACGAATTCAAGCACACCATTTTTAAGGCTTTGCAGGAAGCAATTCATATTAATCATTTAGTACTCGTACAAGCAACTTTGAATAACCAGTTAAATTCATATTAATCATTTAGTACTCGTACACTCATGACCTAGCTACCTGCCTCGAAAATTCATCATCTCACCCAATTAAATTCCTTCAAATGGAATCCGTGTTTTTAGGAGTGGACGAAGGGTTTGGGTTGATGAGTTATGCTGGGAAAGAAGGGGTGGGTTCGGAACAGGGGGCAAGGGAGGGGGAAGGTTCTGGCGGAGTAGGTGACTGTGTGGGTGTCGGGATTGGGCTTGGGAGGAGAAAGAGAGAGAGGTGGGGTGTCTTCAGAAGTTTTGTGGCGAGAGGGTGGTTGTTGGGTGGGTGATGTTGGGGCAGTGGCTTGTTGGGTGGGGTTGGAGTGGTGGTGGTGAGGGTAGCTTTAGGTTGAGTGGTGGTTTTGGTTTGATGGTGAAGTTAGGGGAGCGGGAGGGGACGGGAGAGATTGGGAGAAGAAGAAAAAAAATTTAATTTTTAAATTTTAATTTGTATAAATTAAAATTTCCATTTTGTATTGTTTATTTTTAAAAGGAATAATTTTTTTAATATTTTGACCGAATTGCCCCTCCACGGGTAACGGAAGTTACTCTAATTTGACAGAAATGAGAGTTTGTAAATTAACCAAATTGAGACGACAAAGACTAAAGTGATAAAAGTAGCTAACTACAGGGAGTAAGAGTGACTTCTTGCCAAATTTCAATAAAGCATCTAAACAAAAACTTTATAGGGCCAAAATCCCGCAAAACATTCTTAACGCAAATATCTTTATAAGATTAATTTGTCCTGGGTGTGGCCCGTTCAACCCTGAGGATGAGATTGTCATAACCGTAACCATTCAGTTTGTTGATTGCTCTCTGGGCATCTTCCCTATTCACAAAGTTGACAAACCCAAATCCTCTACTAATTGAAGTATTCTTATCAAGAGCAACGTAAACACGGCTTACAGCACCAAAAGGCCGGAAAAGTTCAAGCAAGTCAGGCTCCCGTGTGTCCTCTGAAAGGTTGGTGAGACGAACAGAGTTCTCATCGTTCCTTCGTCTCATATCAGATCCAGTTCTGTCTGCCCCTGCTCTCACGCTTGGAGGAACATACTTGCCAGTTCCAGCAGCTCCAGCTGCAGCATCTGATGTAGGAGGCTTATCGCTAAATGCTTCAGCCTGTGGGGCGAGATCCTTATACAGGCACTGTGAAGTCCAGTGGTCACCCTTCTTACCACAAGTCCTACAAAGTTTGAGAGCAGCCCCTCCTTTTCCAAGTTGAGCCAAAGAGTCTCCTCCAGCCTTTGGTTCTTCTGCCTTGCTACCTGTTTTAAGTTTGGAGTTCACAGTCAAGTACAAATAAAAAATGGGGTATGATGACAAATGATAATCACAAAAACCCAAAAAATCAGATACTGTGACCAATTGGAATTGAATGATAACAAATAAATCAAAAACAAATCTCAGACAGAAGACATAAATAGAGAAGCCGCAGAAGCAATGAGATATATGAGGACATCAACAAATAGTTACTCAAAATATTATTCCATGTCAATCATGCATCGTGCACAAATGAAAATGACATGGCAAGAGACGTCAAAATCAAGCCTAAATTATCTCTGAGAAAGTAGCCATCCCTGAGCAGCCTCTTAACCTAAAACAACATCCAACCTCCACATAAACCTAAATTAAGGGACTTGAGTCTAGGCCCAGATGAAGGAGCATTTCAAGATAGCAGGCACAGCTGAACTTGTCTTAATTTTGTAAGACAAACTTAAAAACTTAAGGTCTTGGG